ACTTGTAAGACCTAGACTACCAACAACTCACAAACTTGGCCGAACACCCAATAACAGCCAAACAGTGAGAGAGGGGGCTTCCAAACCGCGCTTTAACACGCTTTGTGTTTTTAGCAGCAATAACAAAGGATGTGTGGGCACGTAAACCCGAGGCTCCCAAAAAAGCGGGTTTTTAACATTGAAATGGGACGTGTGGACATATTTTGCAGGAAGGGGTTTCACAAAACACAAACGCAGGAAAGACATGTTTGTGGACAAAAGCGTTTTGGAGAAGGAGGCAGGGGCTTAAAACAAAACACGTTTTAGGGAGGCAAGGATATATAGTCATGCAAGAAGGGCTCCCAATGTCACAAACTGCGTTTGGGCGGGGCTATCCGACAATCCAAAATTCGCTTGTCACACTTGCACGCACGCAGAGGTGATGCTGGGAATGTTACGCGTGGTGCTGCGCTGGGGATGCGTTGGTTTCTGGGCTTTCGGTCCACATGGTAACGAAGCTCCACCAAAGAACTCTCGTGAACATCGCAGCTTTTGCCACACTGGAGTAAATCAACACATGTACACATGTGTTGCAAAATTCTCAGTTCACACAATCACGATTACAATCGCATTGCGAGACAAAATTTGGCAAATTGCCTAGCCACCCAGAGCACATGAGAGTTGTCCTTTTTCAGGTTGTCGGTCACAGAGAGCAATGCAGCGCCTGACGACGGGCGCTCGGGGGACGACATGACAATGTCGGTCTTGTCCGGGGTGTAGTGTTTGAGCTGGCCCTGCTGCGTGGCCCGGTCACTCGCGTTGGCCTGGCCAGGACACTATTTGCGCGAAGCAAAATGACCTGTCACCTGCGGTTACCCATGTCATCAAATGACGTTATCAAACCAAAGCAGCAGTTGACCTGCGCGGTATAAGCGCTTTTCATGTTCACGTATTTGTCAAGCCTCAAATCAACCAGAGGAGTCAACAGCGCTGAAAGCCATCCACCCAGTACCACCAGGTCAACACTATTGTCTCCCACTTTCTCTCCAGCGCAACTCTACAAACAAGGTGACACACCAAAACACACTGGTACAATTTGAGATCTGTGTTCTACGTCACTGAAGCACACATGCGAGGCCTTCAAGAGGTCCATGATTGTCGCCTTTTTCGTCGGCGGTTTGACAGCTTGGGACGGCGGGGTTGGCGGGGGTTGCCCATCTTGATCTTCATCTTCATCCGGCTCATCCAAAGCGCCGGGATCGATGTCGCAGTGCGCGGAGAGCCGGCGCTCGTCGGGCTGCAGGGAAAGGGTGTGGTAATGCTGATAAGTAGACAGGAGTTGCTGCTGATGATGACAGGTAGTCATGACGGCAACAATGCTCATGCTGATTGTGCTGCTGCTGCTGCTCATAATGATGGTGGTGATGATGAAGATGATCATGACGCTGATGATGAGAATGGGTGTGTGACGATGATGACGGTGATGGTGAGAATGCCGAGGTTGAACTAGCGGTCATAATAGCGGTGACAGTGATGGTGATGATGTCGAAGCGGGGGAGGGGGATGATTGGCATTCGGAAAACGTTTCCACTGGTTAAGATCAGTATGATGATGACACGGCTGATGGTGATGATGATGATGATGACGAAGATGATGATTGTGACGATGACGACGTTGTTGATGGTGATGAAACAAAGGACGATGGTGGTGGTGGTGTTGATGGTGACGATGATGGTGATGTGGTTGTGATGTTGATGATGATGAGGAAGAGGTGGACGACGATGTCGATGACGGCGAAGATGCGAATGATGTTCATGACGATGATGCAGATGACAGTAACAAGGATGATGAGGATGGCTCGTGGTAGCGGTGGCGGTGAAAATGAGGGCGGCGGCCGTGGTTGTGATGGCGATGAAGATAATGAACTGGTGCTGACGAGCATGATTGTGAGGGTGATAGTTATGGTTGGAATACTGATGATGCTGATGGTGGCAATGGTGATGGTGTTGATGGTATCGGTCATGGTGATCGCGATGGCAGTCGTGATGGTGCTGGAGCTGGAGACGTTGGTGCAGTTGCGATGATGATGATGATGATGATGACGGAGATGTTGGCGCAGATGATGAGAATAATAATCACGGGGGTGCTGATGATGATGATGATGATGATGATGACGACGATGGTGTGGAGATGGTGATGATGATTTTGCTATGATTGATGTTGACGATGGTTTCGGTGGTGGTGATGATGGTGATGATGATGGTGATGGCAGTGGCGGCATGGGCGTGGCGCTGGTGCTGGTGGTGGCGGTGGGTGTGGTGGCCGTGGTGGTGGTGGTGGTGGTACTGATGCTGCTGAGCATGATCGTGAAGGTGATAGTTGTGGTTGGGATGCTGATGATGCTGATGGTGGCAATGGTGATGGTGTTGTGTGCATGGGGATGGTGATGATGGTGCTAATGGTGGTGATGGATGCTGCTGATTGTGGTGGTGATAACCATGATGATGGTGGTGATGATGGT